GTCATGTATGAGTCAATAAAGATAAGACCAGACTTCATGCCTGTCAGTGTCAAGGCCTTGTGGTTACAGGTTCACCTACCATATGTCAAACCACGACTAGTTGGATGCTGCTACAGTCCGCCATGTGCAGACAGCTTGCATCTGAGTGAAGTGTGTGACATGATTGACTACGTTTGTGACACTGGAAATGAAATTTATCGAATGTGTGACCTGAACATAAACTGGATGTCACGGGACTGTCCCCTAAAGAGAAAAGTTCTAAATGCAACTAATGCATGTTACCTCTGCACCTTGGATTCATACAACAGGGCTCTGGCAAAGTAAAAGAAGGTGAGACTGGGACCTCTCCTTTGCGGCTGCATGTGACAGACAATGACACCTCAAACAGCTCGGCATGGAGAGCCAAATACACCATTCAGGGTGACGAGGGAGAGCACTTTCAAATAGAAACAGACCCAGGCACCAATGATGGAATCCTGACAGTCATCAGAGTGAGTTGTTCAGCTGCATGCTTTACATTACGCCACATGTAATTACACATGCAGTGGCAGATCTTCCTATAGGCCACATAGGCAGCTGCCTAGGGCGCCAACCCCCGCAAACCCCCGCCCTCCACCCCCACATAAAAAAAAAAAAAACAGGCGTAAGGAAAAAAAATTATCCAATGCAGTTTACCTTAATGTGTTTATCAGAGAACAAACACAAGAGATTTTGGGGGTTGGCGGTGCTAGATCAGGGGCATTGATGTTTGTGAATAATTACATACAGTATATTACATACGTAATTTAACATAACTATTGTATAACTTCAGCCTTTAGACTACGAGGAGGGGGCCCAGAAGGAGCTGACCATCTCAGTGGAAAATGAAGCACCATTTTTCTCCTGTAAAGTGAAGGAGAGGACATCCTCAGGCCTCTGGACAGTTGACGCCAGCACAGGTGATGATCCTGATGCACCTCAGCCTCACTCTGTAAAAGTCACCATCGAAGTCGAGGATGTCAACGACCCCCCAGAGTTCAGTGTGACTGTCAAAGAGGCCAAGCTGGAGGAAAATGCACCTACTGGAACCTGGGTAGAGAAAGTGACTGCTGTCGATCCTGACTCCAGTCATGCAAGAGATTTTGTGTAAGTGGGACATTTATTTTTCAACATGTTTGAGCTCGTATCTGGAGCCTCCTACGCTAAAGCAAATGGTGTTTGTCCACAGGTACAAGGTGGGAAATGATCCTGCAGGCTGGGTGAAGGTTGATCCTCACACAGGAGACATCACAACAGTCAAGTCACCGGACAGAGAATCTCATCATGTTGTTAACGGTGTCTACACTATCATACTGCATGCAGTGGACGATGGTAAAACTCGACTTTACAAACCAACTAATTTATAATATTATGAGCAAAGAAATGTTTCATTCAAATATCCACTGCTTTGTGACACTATTTTGTAGCCATACTAGTGTCCATCTGCCACTGACAATCTTTATAACTTTTGTGATCCCCTGACTTTTCCTTTGGTGCCACCAGCAGGTCAAAGTGTTCAGTTATTCTGTGAAGTATCCCAAAATCTACTGAAAGGATTGGCATAGACCAGGGGTAGGCAACCTGCGGCTCTGGAGATGCATGCAGCTCTTCAGCCTCTCTCCAGTGGCTCTATGTGGCTTTTACAAAAATTATATGGAAATGAATACATTTATTTAAAAAAAAAAGAAAAAAGTTTTAACATGCTGTCAACTTAAGTCAATCAATCAATCAATTTTATTTATAAAGCCCAATATCACAAATCACAATTTGCCTCACAGGGCTTTACAGCATACAACATCCCTCTGTCCTTTGGACCCTCACAGCGGATAAGGAAAAACTCCCCCAAAAAAACCCTTTAACGGGCTTAAGTGTGCGTCATACGTCTATGACCTGGCCCCTTCTCCTAAATTTTGGTGAACCTAAATAGCGGTGGGTAGTTAGCGGTAGAATCTCCCTCGCTTGGCTGGTTATTGATTGCAAATCCAAAAAAATAAAAAGTCTCAGAGGAAAACAGAGAACATTATAGCGAATGGACAGATTTCTTTGCTTTCACTGCCACTGGCATAGACATTTAAGCTTCAGAGATGATAAACCCTAATTACTATGTCATCACTTCTTGTAGCGCTACCATGAGGTTCACATTTATGGTTTTGAGTGAAATGTCTCAACAACTGTTTGAGGGATTACCGTTTAATTTTCTACACACATTCAAGACCCCTCCCTGGGATAACTTGTAATAACTTTAATGATCCTTTTCATCTAGAGCCACCAACAGATCAACATTTCTTTTTTGTCCAATATGTTTGTTTTCTGACCAAACACCAGCAAAACTGATTACCTTCCCAGCAGCCATACTTTGTGTCTATGGCTAATTAGCCAATGTTAGCATGCTAATCTGATGGTTAAAATGGTATGAACATTATATCACTCACTAATATGTCAGCATTGTCATTGCAAGGTACTGTTTAGCTGAAAGTAGACTCTTAGTTTTGTTTTTCTATGTTGGACAGATGAGCCACCTTTGACAGGCACAGCCACACTGAACATCCGTGTGACTGACCAGAATGACAACGTTCCTCGGCCAACAGTGGATTATGTGGATGTGTGTCTGTCTGAGGGCCCCAGCATCACCAACATCACAGCCTTTGACCTGGATGATAATCCTTTTGGAGGGCCTTTCACATTTGAACTGCTTGGGGATATTGGAGGAAAATGGAAACTGAGTCCCTCATATGGTAGAAACAGCTATGATATGTAGTGAAGTATTAGGAGAAAAAAACGTTTTAAAAATTACAATCAACTAATGTTGTGATTATTTTTCACAGGGTACACAGCTGGCCTGGTGAAGGAGCCTGATGTGTACGCTGGCCCTCACACAATTGATCTGAAGATCTCTGACATGCAGGGAGAGTTTGGCATTTACAGCCTCAATGTGACTGTGTGCGACTGCTCTGTGACACCCGACTGCCGAAGCCTCAGAGGCACTGCCACAACTGCTGCCTCTGGTGCGATAGGCATAGCGTTTGCCTCACTGTTTTTACTCCTGTGTAAGAAACTGAATCACTGCCTTTAGTTTGGAGCAGAGTATACCATGATGTATGTTGTTAATATACTAATAAGTCACTGCAAGTTGAATTTTGTTGTCTCACTGACAGTTCTGCTGCTGATGGCAATCGTCCTTACCTGCAAAAAAGAATTCACCACATTGCAGACCATTGATTCCTCTGGAGAAACCCTCCTCACATCAAACATTGAGAAACCAGGAACAGACTGCAAGGTCACTGCTTGGAAACATTTGCAAACAAACCAGTGACACATTTCCCGATTTCTCTTCCTGCAAATATCAGTAAACATTTTTTTTAATCTCTTTCCAGCTTCCCGACAGCATCCTGGCAGCGTCCACTGATAAGACACACTATGACCCATCTAAGTGTCAAAGTCTCCACGGTGGAATGAAACACAGTAAAGTTTCAACAAAGGTGGGTGCAGGCGTAAATTACATGGACAAACTACTTCAACTGGTTAAACTGCAAAATATAAAGTAGGTATGTGTTCAGATTTTATGAGAAGCACAAAGCTGATCTTTTATAGCTTTCCTCTCACGCATGCTTTGAAGACGACACAGAGTGTAAAAATTAAAGACTGTTATTTTGATTGTGTGAACCCACTGTACTTAAGTGTAGCTGCTCATCACTCCTGTCATTCTCTTCAACAGGAGACAAAGCAAAACTTTATCTACAAACACTTTGGAGATTACAGAACGGAAAATGTGTCCTACCTTATCAATGAGAACTGGAACCAGGTAATGTGCGCTCATTTGATGGGGATTTTAGATGCCGTTTACATGTACACGGTGATTTTGATAAACGGAGACATCTTCCTTCGTTTGTGCCCTTCGTTTACACGTTTACTCTGAAAACGAGTCTTTCTAAAAACTCCGGCCAGAGTGGAGATTTTGGAAAACTCCGTTTGCGCGTTTGCATGTAAACTGAGATAAACGGAGTTATAGGCAGCCGACGTCACAGTATGCGCCAGAACTTGTGCCTGTGTCAAAAGTGCGACCTATGTTGCTATGGTGACAATGGATACATGGAAGGCTTGAGCTTCTCGTTACACTGCCACCTACAGGTTTGGCATGCTCTTGTGTATATATACATGGGTAAGTGTAAACGAAGATCTTTTTGAAAATGGAGACGGTGAAATGTCCGTTTATGAAAATAGCCGGCCAAGTGTAAACAGCCTCTTAGTTACAACTGTGCATTCATATATTAATTTTGTTTCAATCTTCCCTCCAATCAGACGACTTGGAATTCTTTTATAGCCAATGGCTACCATCACAACCACCAGGTAGACAGTTGTTTGGTTTGTGCTTATTGTTACTTTGAGGCAGCAGCTGAAGAAACTTGATCTTTATATGAACTTTTTGTACAGATGGACATGAGCAAAATGAACGCCCTCTACAGAAGGAACTCAAGCTATGGGACAGATGCAGCTGTTCTCCAAGCCCTGCTTCATCGGGTTGGTAGTGCACTTACTATGGAGTATCATATCTACCCTGCAGCATAGGACACTGTGAAAGCATGCATGTGCCTGCTGCAGTAAAATAAACACTGTACTTAGACATTTCTTTGGTTTTCCCCACTACTCCTGCAGAGGCTCTCCTGTCTGCAGGACAAAGAGGGAGATCTGATGGACTATCCGCCTCACATCTACGCAGATGAGGGGGACTCGGACAACCATTCGGTGCTGGAGAACATTATCATTCCTGAAGACGACTCGTTTTACAGAGCGCTGGAAGACTTGGGCCCCAGGTTCAAGGAACTTGGCTCCATTTGCAGGCAACCAAATAAGCAAACCTAAACACATGTTTTACTGTAACTGACTGGCAGTGAAACAATGCATTTTTTAAGCCATATGTAGCTCAGGTTCTAAGGTTAATGTATGCCAATGATAACTTACGTCTCCAGAGATGAAAGCCATTCTGTTAATCATATGTTATTTAATAGCAACTGTTACAAAGTCCTCCACAGTTTTCGCTTTCCAAATAGGGAAAAAAAAATAAAGTACAGCTGTCCTCCAAAAGCAATTTGGAGTTACATTTGGACAGTCAAGTAGAATAATATAATACATTAAGCCACAAAAAAATAAATTATGTGCCTGCTGGCCTGGTCAAAGACAAATTCCACTTTGCATTTATACCAAACTAACTGCCAATGAATACATTTGCCTCTAGCATACAGCTGCTTGATTAAAACAAATTGCTCTCCCATTTCATATAATAAAGCCTCAAAGTACAAAATTCCCTGAATGCCAATTTGGGATAAAGAAAGGAAAATCTTCAAATGGGGAAAAAAGGGAGGTACTTTTTTTAAATAAGTAGAAAACTACAATATTTACAGAAAAATATCAACAAAAAGACAAAGAAAAAGAACAGCCTTCACACCCTCCCACTGTCAACTTTTGGGAGGGGTCGCTGCTCAGTGGTGCCCTGCCCTCTGCGCCCTCGGCCCCTGAATCCTCGGCCTCTCAGGAAGCGGCCGGGTACTCCAAAGGTTTCCATGTTCAGCTTTTTCTCCTCCGCCCAGGTGGTTCTTCTGAAGATGCAAAAAGAAAAGTTAAATATATTGTTGAGCTTGACAAACCGCTCAGGTCTCACAAAAGACAAACAGCAAAAGTTACATAATCACCTGGGCTTAAGGTCTGATGAGATGTTGTCAAAGAAGCATTTGGCTTTGTCGTAGTACTTGTCTCCAACAGTGTCCTCCTCCTGCATACCCTGGCTCTCCTGGGCCTCCCCAGAATCCACCTTTTCAACTGCAGTAAGTCACAAAAACAAAGTGTAATTATATATACACACACACGTTAAAAAGTTTTATGATGTGCACTGAAACCAAATTGACTGATGCCCTTTGAAACAAACATACCCACAACTTCTTTCGTGAGATCATCTTTAAACTGTGCATTTGCAGTTTCAAAATCAAAATCTGACTCAAACTGCAGGGTTGTTGCCTTGGAGTTTTTTACCAGAAGCTGGCCTCTGCTTCGGTTCCTGGACCTGCGATTGCCTGCACGTGAACACCAGAATGAGTTAAGACAAATTACACAATCACCACTGTGAAACTGGTTTAGTAACTACTTGAAACAGGTCCATCTAGTCTTAGAGATTTACATTTCCCACAGACAGAGGAGCCATATTTCTTTACTTTGACAAATCTGCGCCAGCCCCCCCACAGCTCTTTGACAGCAGAAACAGACAAAACAAATATTGTTGTTCTGTCAGTTAGACATAGCTTGGAGATGGAGCTGGAACTGGCCCAGCATGCTCTCCCTTTTGAATGTCAAAAAAGCTGGGGGGTGACTGGTGTCCTAGGTGGCTGCCTATTCCGTCTATAGGAAGATTTGCCACTGCTTTAAGTATTTCTAATTCTGGCACCTTGTTTTTGCCTTTGTTTCTGGTTCTCGCTGCCTTGGCCTTGAACCTTGGCTGCACTTGGCTGAGATGGTGTCTGACCTAAACAAAAATAAATTAAATGTGGATGGATTAAAAATAGAAGCAATGCAAGAAACAGATGAGTGATTTCTCTTGGGTTACAATGAGCCACTGACTTTGCTTACTGCTGGGTACATTCTCCTTCTGAGCCTGGCCAGAGCGCTGTGTTGGACGAGCAGGCTGTCTGCTCTGCGGCTGGGTTGACGTCTTCCCCTTTCTCTGGGCAGAAGTAGCCAACGGCACTGTCTGCACAGCCTGCTCGACCATGGGAGCTCTTCTAGCGGGGATGCCATGAAGACCTGGTACTGTGGGAGCAGACACAAACATGGTGGGGCATGTGAGAAACATTCACTGGCATTCCACAGTGCTGGAAAATGAATGACATTTCTGAGACATCTGATGCGTCCAAGAGATCGTTAACTGTACCGAGGCCCAGTGCTGCATTGTACTGCTGGTTGAGTAGCGAGGTAGCAGCCAGCTGGTTGTAGGTGGGCATCATGTCTCTGTATGAACTCCAGCGTGGGTGATACGCTGCAGAGGAGCTGCCAATGGATGACTGAAATCACAAAAATGAAAACAAAGGAACTTTGTTCTATCAGTTGTGAGTTTTGATTAATGCCAAGTACGCTTACAAAATGGAAATTACTTCAAAAGGCCATAACTCTGAGCCACACACCTGTACAATAGCAGGGTCCTGAGGCGGTCCATGCTGTGGTTTTGGTGGCTCGGACACAGTGATATCTTTGATGTCACTTCCTCTGAAGATTATATATTCATAAATTTCATCTTTGGGTGGCACTGGTCTGTCTGTGTGCCGGTCCTCTGTCCCATAGGATTTAACTGTTGGGAAATAAGTGATGTTTACCTCCAGCATACTGTTTACATTAAGGAGCACTGCAAGGTTACTCAATATTAAGGAGTGACCTTGCACTCTGTTCCTTGTAATTGTAAAAGAGGAAAACACACGTGTCATCTACAGGCCTCTCAACCTACCTTTGGCTAACGCAACCGTTGACCTATCTGTGTCGACAGAAGACAGTATTCCCTCATACCGGATCTGCGCCTTGGATATTAGGCTTATCTTACTGCCAATATAAGGGGTTCCTCCTCCGGTGCTCATGTTCGCTGTGAAAATATGTTTTTAAAATTGAAACGCAGCGACTAAGTGACAGAGCATTAACCCACGGCAGACATCAAACATGCACTCATCAGGTCTGTGCACAATTAGCGGCCACCTGTGCGATTTATAAGATTGCCAGTGACGCGCCTCTTTGCTGCTGGCTCACCTGCGCGTAAAACAGGGTTGGTTTGTTTTGAGTGTAGGCGCACACCGCGAGAAACACAAGCAAATCTGTGGAGGCTGTCAAGCTTGACGATGGACAACCTGTTGCAGTTATACAAACACAGAGACGGACTGGATAATGATAACAAAATGAGAAGTAGGTAAGAAAAATTCACTTTTATGCTGCTGCCATGACAACACAGTGATGAGCACTAAATTTGGGTTTATCTGTCCCATTTAACTTCCCTGAGTGCCAGTGTATGGAGTGAATCTTAAAGAGAAAATGGAAAATTACCTAGGGCTATTTTATTATGATATTATACAGGCTATTACTATTCAAATATATATAGTGAAATGTCAATTTGAAATGAATATCTGAGCTGTTCGAGTTCCTGTTTGACAACGTTAACAAGGTCACATTTTGCACACATTTTACAAGTTTGCATTGTCACATTGACGTTTCACAATACCAATTAAATGAATTTCTTTCTTCAGTTTTTGCTTTCACTTTTTATTTTTGACCTTTATGACCTTGTATTTTATTTCCTATTCTATTTTTCAATTTTGGTTAAAAGTGTATAAGAACTGGCACATGAAAAATTCCCTACAGCTCTTATTCATATTTAAAAAAGAAAAAATAGGATGCGCCAATTGCTCAAAGCCTAGATATGGAACACCAGAAAATGATTTTATCTAAATTAGTGGGTCATGTTCACTTCCTCGCCTGTGGACTGTAAATTTAAAACTTTTGAACATATTACATACAGGGGGCAACATTTTGATTTACTATATTTTATTACACAGTCTAAATTAAAGCAAAAGTAATCACACTTTTTGCATTGTGCATTTATATCTTAAAGTCAGCGCACGTGGGAGTCTAACGACAAATGTCCCATGACTGCTGACAGCACTGTACAATATTTCCTCTCTAAAAGGAGGGTGGGGCGCCCTCAAACGCCTCTTTACAACAGCAACTTCACTTGTTGGCCAAAACACTGCAGCCATCTTGCACAGCGCATCAAGAGTGAGTAAAGTCTGGAATTCGGTTTGTTGGCTTGTTGTAAACCACGTTATTTTTCTACCGAAAGTCACACGGTACAATTCTGAAACGGAAGAGCTAAGGTGTTGGTAGAAAGAGGCCGTCGACGATGTAACATTTGATGAAGACATTTCGTCTCCGATACGATGTTGTTCCGTCTCATGCATCCCCTGGAATGACAGCTGAAGCCATTGGTACCGCCTTTTAGAATGTGGAGCACCCAATCAGAGCTCGCCGAAATCCCTGCACGGAGACGTTTGGTTGTTGTGCGCACGCGCATGTCAGTTGGTAAGTCCCTCACTTCTCACAAGCTCGCAGGAGTGTGAAGATGGCGGTCGGGTCTGGTCCGCTGGATGAGCCGTTTTTACACACAGAGGTGAATAAAGCGGTAGTTTGTCATCCTGTACAGTCTGTAGAGTCACAACTGTCGTCCTTGTGTCACAACAACCACTGGGGTAGGCAAGAGGCAGCCGGTAATTACATGGCTATAGTTCCGGGACAAGGGGGTAGCGCGAGCTAATGTCCAGCTGGGACTTGGTCAAGACGATTGCCAAAGCAGGTACGCTGTAACTACTAATGTTGTTTTCCTCTTTGTCTCTCCGAGTATACACGAAAAGCAAGCGCCGGAGCTGACAGAGAGAAACAGTAGACGTGACAGAGTCTTGTCCCATCACATTTAAGATTGTTTGTGCTCCTTCTAAACAAGTTGAAGTGCAGGGGGTCTCATCATAGCGAGGTCCCCATGGTTCAGCTATGGATGCATCGACGGCCAGCACGGACTCAACCACGGGACACGACCCTGGCAAAACACTTGCTGGTAGTGATGGTGCAACTTCTGTCCCCAATCACCAGGGGAAAGTAGGCTCATACTCGGTGCAGACTTTCAATGGGAGCCAAACTATGAACTCTCACAATTCAGGAAGCGCTGCCCCTCTCGGGGGGGCGGCAGTGACAAGTGGCACTGGTAACAGCAGCAGCACTGCGATAACTGTCACAGCTGTCAACAGTGGACCAGTGATGTCTAAAGGGCTGGCGAGTGCAATAATGCACCCCTCGTCTAACAGTGTAATTCAGACGCCTCTCATGAACTCACAGAGTGTTGTCGCTTCAGCTCCGTCAGTGAGCCAGGCAGCAGGACCCACTGTGACACTCGTCAGGCCGCCTATGCAAACCGCGGGGTCGGGTGCAACTTTGAATGGGAACAATAATGTGAGCCATGCAGTGGTTGCCAATACAACAGGTCACACAGGTATCGGCATACAAACCCCGCTTGTAAACAACAGCCAGCCGTCCAACTCGGTGTCTGTCAGCGCAGGGTCGCACATAATCAAGGCAGAGCCACCCACAACAATAATACAGTCAGCACCGCAGCCGGCTGTCACTCCTGGCGCCGTCAGCGCTCCCCGGATTCCGTCGACGGTAGCTGGCGGTCCAGGCGGGATCCGAGCCCTGACGCCTCAGATGCTGGCCCCAAGGCTCCCACAGACCTCTCCAGGACAGCCCAGTATAGGCCTACATAACATCCAGCTTCCCCCCGGTGAGTGAACCCAGAACTTTTTACTCATCAGTGATAGTAAAAATATACCCTGAATGATTATTCTTATTGAATATTGTCCTCGTAGACCCACTTTGAGCAGTGCACCAGATTCCCTAAATAACACTAAACTGTTATGATGTATGGTTCAGGGATGGTGCTTGTGCGCAGTGAGAGTGGACAGCTGTTGATGATTCCTCAGCAAGCTCTGGCCCAGATGCAGGCCCAGGCACAGGGAGGCATGGCGCCTCGGGCTGCTGCGCCAACAAGCGTGCCTCCTGGCCAGGTAAGATCACACATTCTGCCTAGGAAGAGCTTTATATATACATATATACATATATGTCTCACTTTAGTGTCAAGGTTGGTATTAAAGCTCATGTTCAGCTTCCTGCATACAGCTCAGGGAAACACCTGTTGAGCACAATATTAGTCAATTTGTAGTCAATCTGTGTAGGTGTATGGAAAGTAGTGTGCTAGTACATTAATTTGTTGCATTATTAGTCTCCACTTGTGATAAATTATAAATACATACATACAGCTTTTCCTTGGTGTATTTAGATGTAATCAGTAAATGTTTTCTAGTTTTATAAAACTGGGTTTTGCACATCGTGTCATGCTTTGTGCCTTGTCTCAGGCTCCTGGAAACACCATCATCAGCAGACAAGTGGCGCCCAGCACCATCATCCGTCAAGGCTGTCCAGCTCCAACGTCACTCACGGCAACCACCACTCTTCACAGACCTCCCATCCTTCAGGTAACCCCGTCTGTGGGTGTCAAATAATTTCTTCATATGTTCATTCTGCTTGTTGCACATTGTTTTGTGTCCATTACTCACGCAAGCTGCAAACTGAGGATGGTACAAAATGCCTCATTCAGCGTTTGATATTGTGTTATAGTGCACCATAATGTTACAGGCTTGTGTGTGGATGTGACACTAGAGGGATCTTATGAGTGTATTTTTCCTCCATGAAAATGATGCAAACTCTCATTCTCTAGAAGATGTGATGTTTTATAGTGTGAACACATGTCTCCATCGTCTGGGTTTATTGGTAATCCTGAACCTTGTTTCCTGGATTTACTATAGTAGAGTTGACTAGACTTGAAGGAATTATACTTATTTATGAGGAGTTTTATGTGTGTTACACGTCAGCAGATTTGCCAGTTACAAATAAAACAACCACAAAATGATTGCACCACGGGAGTGCTTACTTCTTTCCTGATGTCGTAAAACCAATACATTGTAGTTATTTTCTTTTGAGGAAGAGCATCCAACTGAAATCTAGCGCAGCAGAAGCGCACCTGTTTCCTTTATGAACCTGAAGTTTGATGCCCTTGATAAACTTTGAAGCAACTCTAAAACCCACACTCTGTTTTGATGACTTGAAAAGTGGGTTCTGAAACATTTGATCAACCTAAACAGCATATTATGATGGTGATGTCTGTCTTCCCAGGGCTCAGTTGGGGCTGCAGTACCAGGAATTACCCCCAGGACTGTCAGCCAAACAGCTGGGACCACAGTTGCCTCAGTAACAGTGAGCAAAGTGAGTTGTATTAAGCTCAAGGGATCAGATAGAGCTGGGTGTCTGCATGTGCTGAAGACAATTACAGTATAATAAAGGAAGGAAAAGCATGCTGCGATGTATAACGTGGTTATCCACAAGTGAGACTTTAATTTGTTCATAATCTGAATGTTTTGATTTTTGCAGGAGACGATGGAGAATGTGAAGAAATGTAAGAACTTCCTGTCTACATTGATCAAGCTGGCATCCACTGGGAAGCAATCAACAGAGACTGCAGCCAGTGTGAGAGAGCTGGTCAAGGACCTGCTGGTGAGTGAGCTGTACATACAGGAGACACACAGAAACCTCTCAGCTGCCATATTTTGTTTGTCATTTGACAAGGATATGGACAAATGAAAACTCTAGAATATAGTCATTTATTTAAAAGTAAAAAAAAAAAAAAAAAAATCCAGCTGTCCTTTTAAAGGTCCAGTGTGAAGGATTTAGGGGGATATATTTGCAGAAACGGGATATAATAAGTGTGTTTTCTTCAGTGTATACTCACTGAGAAATAACAGTGGTTGTGTTTTCATTACCTTAGAATGAGCTGTTTATGTCTACATAGGGAGCGGGTCCTCATCTATAGTGCCCACCATGTTGCACCATCATGTTTCTGCAGTAACCCTGAACAGACAAACCAAACACTGGCTCTAGATTTGTGGCCAATATAGTTAGCATCCCCTCTGCAACAAGAGTGTTGAAGAGACACTGATATATAACGTGAAACTACTTTATTCAGTGTCCTACCAGTTTAAATAACAAGGTCCATTTGTTTTGGTGAGGAAAAGATCTCTGCAGATAACTCCCAAACTTTTGAATCTAAAATTATTAGAGGAAAAAAGTAAGCACATGTTAGCAGGTGCCTGTCAAGATGCTGAGCAGCATTGGAGAAACACAGCCTTGTAATGTGAAACTGCTCTAGTCAGTGTTCTTACTGGTTTTAATCAGCTGGTCAGTTTGTTTTGTAGAGGAAGAGACCTCTGCAGATAATTTGGCTCACTGTAAAAACAATGAACAATAAGAAATTCTAATGAGGAGAAGTTGCAGCTGGTTTTAGTCCGCAGTCCTCACTGCCAGATACCACTAAAGCCCCCTAAATCTTACACTCTGCACCTTTAAGAGTAGAAAACCTTCAGCCAAGAGAAGCATCATCTGTACCTGCTAATGTGACAGCTCTCACTCTGAGCTCTTTATGCCTGTATATTGTACTAGGAGGGCAGACTGGAAGCTGAGGAATTCACCAGCAGATTGTACAAAGAGCTCAACTCTTCACCCCAACCTTACCTTGTGCCTTTCCTCAAGGTAAAAAAGATGACATTCTCTTGTTATTGTCACTGATATATTTTCTCAGACCATAGGAAACCATCGCCAAATGAATGTCATCTTTGAGTGCATTTCTGTAATATATATTGCCTGTTTATCGCCTGTAGAGAAGCCTCCCAGCCTTGAGGCAGCTCACTCCAGACTCAGCAGCCTTCATCCAGCAGAGTCAGCTCTCCCAGACATCCTCAGGTCCAGTCCCCTCCACCTCACCCATCCCCACCACAGTGGTCCTGGGCAGCCCAGCGCCCCGCCTCACTGCCCCAGTCTGCAGGCCCCAGCTCCAGCCAGGCATTAGCAAACCAGGACAGACCCCCTCACTGGTAAACTGGCTAATGCATTCTCAGATATCAGCTCAACTAAAATCTATAACTTTGAGAGCCATTTATATAAAATATGATGCATCTCAAACATTTCCTTTCCCTCAAATTGCACATTGAAGCATACATGTCACCGCGGTAATAATGATCTGCATTTGGAACTTCACCCTTTAAGGTTATCCAGCCTCAGCAGCAGAGAGCGATGCTGAGACCTCAGGTAGCCTTACCGACGACCCCCATGGTGACTCTCAGGAATCAGGCCCCTGGTCGCATCATGCTGGGACAGCAGCAGGTCCAGCTGAAAGAGCTGCAACCAGGTAAGGATGTCAGTGTATAAACACCACTGTCTGTGCATGCGCATTTTTATGTGGGTGACCTGCAGTATTTATTGTGATTTTGTGTGTCTCTGCCAGTTCCTGTGAGGCCGGAGGTGCCAGTGGTTTCTAAACAAGTCTCTGCTGCAGCCCTGACTCTGGCTCAGAAGAACAAGCTGAAAGAGGCTGGTGGTACTTTCAAGTAAGAACGATGACAGAATTCAGATCAGTTTTAATCACACAGGTTTCAGCATTAGCATCACCTGGAGGTGGAGCATTTAATTTTGGTACATTTTCACCGCCCTCAGCAAAAAAACCTTGTGTTCATACCATTTATATTTTAAAAATGCTATGTGGCTGGAGAAATAAGTGGCAGTTCATAGTGATTTAGCAGAGTTTCAGTGCTATTCTTGCCACACCTCTGTCTACAGAGATGATGACGACATCAACGATGTGGCCTCCATGGCTGGAGTGAACCTATCAGAGGAAAGCGCTAATATCCTAGCAACCAACTCTGGACTAGTGGGAGCGGTGACACATTCCTGCAAGGACGAGGCTTTTCTCTCCTGTGCTGTTCTACAGAGGAGAATGCAGGAGATAGGTGAGATACTTACAACGTTGCTGACAATACAGCATCCATCCATCTGCCCCCTAAAGCCCCAACGTTCTTTTTTTTTTTTTTCTTTTTTTCAGGTAGGAGGCACGGTGTGACAGACCTGGGTGCGGAGGTGGTGAACTTTGTCTCCCACGCTACTCAGCAGCGGCTCCAGAACCTGCTGGAGAAGGTTTCCCAAGTGGCCCAGCAGAGAAACACCAATTTCAAGGTTTGTTTGCAGCGTCATTATAGAGAGACTCATACTAGTGTAAATGTCAGATACATCTTAAGGCATTTTGATTTCATATACAGTATGCACTAATTTCTCTGTAATCCTTTCCTTTTTTTCCTGGGATTACATTGTGATACTGTTGTGTCTTAGCACGAGGATGACAATTATGAGCAGAGCAGTGATGTTCGTGCTCAGCTCAAGTTCTTTGAGCAGCTGGACCAGCTAGAGAAACAACGGAAGGAGGAACAGGAGAGAGAGATCCTCCTAAAGGCAGCTAAGGTACAGCATCACTGACAGACTCCACAATAATATGTCCATAGGTTATCTATGAAATTCATTTACACAAGTGATTATTGTAGTTAAAGGTAATGGAATAACTTTGTGGTAAGTAGCGTCCGTGGATTCAGATACATGCTCTTAAATAGAGCATAAATAAATTGCCTTTTAATAGACTGAGAGGTTTTGGTGTTTTCACTGATAAATGCATTCTGTAATATATACCTAGATGAAATACTCTTTGTGAGATTGAAACAACATCTTATGTAACCATCAAAACATGCATTCTTGCCGTGGCTTATTACATTCAGCAGGCATGCCATCGAAGATCCTCTAGATTTAAACGGACTTTCAGCAGTTTCAAACATCCAGTTTCATTATTTCAAGGCCATACTGTGACAGCAGTTTTTTATGTTTAGATGAAATCAGCCCATCTATTAATAAAAGCAGGTGTGTTACAAATGCTGGTTTGTTTGGGCTTCATTTAGTGTTATAGTATCTCGCAGATATTGTCTTCTCCAGAGGCACATTAATATTCTAGAAAGTTTGACAAAAGGTCGCTTGCGATTGATTTTGACTCAACCTCTGGATGCCTGTTAGAATGTAACTGGAACAGTTTCTAACAAATGTACTTTGTGATATATTAAATGGCACTGGGGATGATATGTATGGTATGTGACATTACAAATTCATATGTAAGTGTTTTTTATTTAATTATAGTGCAATATAAAATGATGTAGCTCTAAATGTTAAAGTTGATGGATAAGGGCCATTCAGGGTCTTAAACAAACAAGTAGTTGATATAGCATGCACTTTTCAAACTCAGAAACTTTTCTATGGCAGATATTCATGCAGAATGCGCAAACATAGCCAAATTACACTGCATCTCTAGTCTGACACACCCTGGGCTTTGGTCTTTCTCCTGCCAGCATCAGTTATTAATGTGTCTTGCTTTTTGGCCTTTCAGTCTCGAGCCCGGCAAGAGGACCCAGAGCAGTTGCGTCTGAAACAGAAGGCAAAAGAGGTAGGATTGGAGAAGGAGGGCGGTCAACTCGTGTCTGTCTCTGTATGTTTAAGCACTCCCTGTATGCTTGATTTTCATGTTGGAATGTGTGCGTTGTCCAGATGCAGCAGCAGGAGCTGGCTCAGATGAGACAGAGGGAGGCCAACCTGACGGCTCTGGCAGCCATCGGCCCCAGGAAGAAGAGGAAGATTCTGGACTCTCCATCCTCCTCTGCTGCAGCTGAGGTAACACCGATCACAGTACATTCCCCATATAGTGTTTATCCTGGGCCAGCTAAGCCTGTCACAAAGTCACCATAAATCAGGGGTGTCAAACTCATTTTAGTTCATGGGCCACATACAGAGACAAATCATCCAACAAAACAAAACACCAAAGTTAAAATGCCAGTGACAGCAATGTTAACTTCAGGGTACAGTTAAAATGCTGCTTTCTTTGTCAGTGTAAAACACTGATTACAGGAAAAGCTAATGTTAGTGCTAGCAGTCAGGTCTTTACTCCAGTGACTGTATCCACCAGACAAAGTTAATTTAGTGACGAGCTTTCACTGACAGCCTGCACCACCCTGACAGAAAGCTGCTGTCAGTCGTCTGTGCTCTTCACATACCTGGAGAAAATAATATAATGAAGCTGCCCATTAGTTCTGGCTCATGAACTCACGCACATTGTTGGCTGACTCTTGTAATTACAGATCACATTTAAACAAGTTACCAGTCACATTCATTTAATACAACGAGACAGCCTTCATAATATGACAAACCTTTACTCACCGTGCTGCAGCTGCTGGTTATGCTCAGTCCTACCTGCTACATATCACTGGTTTCGTTAATTGATTTCTCCTTTGACCACAAATCTCTGCCTGTTCTAGATTTTGATCGCCTTGGTGAACATTGTTTTCTTTATCTCTACACGTGTCAGGTTCTGCTCTGTTAAGTGTTTAGGGGTTTCTTTCTCTCCACGTTGAATCTTGCACTGTTGTTTGGATTCCCTGGGGAGCTCCACAAGAGCAGCACCTGCTCTGTGAAATGAGCATCCAACCATTTGCTCAGATAAATGGCCCTGTGTTCTTTAATTGTCGCTGACAGGAATTGGCATATGAAAAACAAATGTTCAGGAAACAATGAGCAACATCTTTTCTCTTTATTTACTTACTTTGACAAAGGTTGCAGTAATTTGAAGATGGTGTTTATTCGTTAACCTTCCCTGTCTCCCAGTGACAATGCTGCTTTTGTGCGGCTTTTCTGCATTTATAATGGTTATTGAAAAACAGGAAAAACCGATGTCGCAGAGTTGTATTGTCTGTTACGTACAATGCAAATTGCTATAGCAGTGAATGATAAGTGGGATAGTTGTTACCAAATTAAACAAACACCATTGGAAAAGACACTTTAACAAATATTGTTATATTTTTCTATAAGCAACAGAGGCCATGGCTGAGGGCTTCCTAAATAATCAACATCGCATTGCTGGCAAAACCACCACCTTATGTCTGTGGTCACACAAACAGATTTGCGTCAAACACTAGCCACTCTCATAACTTACTCTCGTTGAGGAAAAAAAAGTTCTAATGACTTTAATGAAGATAACAGTTCATTTGCTAACATGCATTCAGCCATTACATTTCTTTTGTCACACTGTCAGTGCTGTTCAGGGTTGTGGGGTTTATCTACTTAAGCCGTTTATCCATTACTCTTAGCTAACCATTTTAGACATTTGTCCATTATACCTAGTTAACTATCTTTGCTAACTATTTCAGCAATTTATCTGTTTCTTTTAGCTATGTCCTTTACGCTTAGTGAGCTATCTTAGCTAAAGTTAACAATTTTAACCATTTATCCATGACTTTTAGCTTTTTGTTTCAGCCATTATTCCATTAATTTTATCTTAGTCAAGTATCTATAGCTCTTAGCTAACAATATCAGCCATTTACTCACCCATAACTTTTAGTTCTTTATTTCTATCGTTTATCCATTACGTTGCTATTTCATCCATTTGTCCAAGCTATTTTTCACCACTGATCCATTACTCTTTGCTATTTCAGCCATTCATTCATTACTTTTAGCTATTTCAGCCATTCATTCATTACTTTTAGCTAACTATTTCAGCCATTCATTCATTACTTTTAGCTTACTATTTCAGCCATTCATTCATTACTTTTAGCTAACTATTTCAGCCATTCATTCATTACTTTTAGCTTACTATTTCAGCCATTCATTCATTACTTTTAGCTAACTATTTCAGCCATTCATTCATTACTTTTAACGTACTATTTCAGCCATTCATTCATTACTTTTAGCTAACTATTTCAGCCATTCATTCATTACTTTTAGCTTACTATTTCAGCCATTCATTCATTACTTTTAGCTAACTATTTCAGCCATTCATTCATTACTTTTAACGTACTATTTCAGCCATTCATTCATTACTTTTAGCTAACTATTTCAGCCATTCATTCATTACTTTTAGCTTACTATTTCAGCCATTCATTCATTACTTTTAGCTAACTATTTCAGCCATTCATTCATTACTTTTAACGTACTATTTCAGCCATTCATTCATTACTTTTAGCTAACTATTTCAGCCATTCATTCATTACTTTTAGCTTACTATTTCAGCCATTCATTCATTACTTTTAGCTAACTATTTCAGCCATTCATTCATTACTTTTAACGTACTATTTCAGCCATTCATTCATTACTTTTAGCTAACTATTTCAGCCATTCATTCATTACTTTTAGCTTACTATTTCAGCCATTCATTCATTACTTTTAGCTAACTATTTCAGCCATTCATTCATTACTTTTAACGTACTATTTCAGCCATTCATTCATTACTTTTAGCTAACTATTTCAGCCATTCATTCATTACTTTTAGCTTACTATTTCAGCCATTCATTCATTACTTTTAGCTAACTATTTCAGCCATTCATTCATTACTTTTAGCTTACTATTTCAGCCATTCATTCATTACTTTTAGCTAACTATTTCAGCCATTCATTCATTACTTTTAGCTTACTATTTCAGCCATTCATTCATTACTTTTAGCTAACTATTTCAGCCATTCATTCATTACTTTTAGCTTACTATTTCAGCCATTCATTCATTACTTTTAGCTAACTATTTCAGCCATTCATTCATTACTTTTAGCTTACTATTTCAGCCATTCATTCATTACTTTTAGCTAACTATTTCAGCCATTCATTCATTACTTTTAGCTTACTATTTCAGCCATTCATTCATTACTTTTAGCTAACTATTTCAGCCATTCATTCATTACTTTTAGCTTACTATTTCAGCCATTCATTCATTACTTTTAGCTAACTATTTCAGCCATTCATTCATTACTTTTAGCTTACTATTTCAGCCATTCATTCATTACTTTTAGCTAACTATTTCAGCCATTCATTCATTACTTTTAGCTTACTATTTCAGCCATTCATTCATTACTTTTAGCTAACTATTTCAGCCATTCATTCATTACTTTTAGCTTACTATTTCAGCCATTCATTCATTACTTTTAGCTAACTATTTCAGCCATTCATTCATTACTTTTAGCTTACTATTTCAGCCATTCATTCATTACTTTTAGCTAACTATTTCAGCCATTCATTCATTACTTTTAACGTACTATTTCAGCCATTCATTCATTACTTTTAGCTAACTATTTCAGCCATTCATTCATTACTTTTAGCTTACTATTTCAGCCATTCATTCATTACTTTTAGATTATTTCAGCCATTCATTCATTACTTTTAGCTAACTATTTCAGCCATTCATTCATTACTTTTAACGTACTATTTCAGCCATTCATTCATTACTTTTAGCTAACTATTTCAGCCATTCATTCATTACTTTTAACGTACTATTTCAGCCATTCATTCATTACTTTTAGCTAACTATTTCAGCCATTCATTCATTACTTTTAGCTTACTATTTCAGCCATTCATTCATTACTTTTAGACTATTTCAGCCATTCATTCATTACTTTTAGCTAACTATTTCAGCCATTCATTCATTACTTTTAGCTTACTATTTCAGCCATTCATTCATTACTTTTAGCTTATTTCAGCCATTCATTCATTACTTTTAGCTAACTATTTCAGCCATTCATTCATTACTTTTAGCTTACTATTTCAGCCATTCATTCATTACTTTTAGCTTATTTCAGCCATTCATTCATTACTTTTAGCTTAATATTTCAGCCATTCATTATTTTTTTTGTTTCAATATTTTATTGGTTTTATGTTGTGTTGTTAAGTTACCAAAATCCAACATCTTCCAAACACAGGGTGATTAGACGTCCCTGTTTTCCAGGACAGTCCCTGTTTTGGTGGCTTGTCCCCAGCTGGAGCTGTCCCCTGAAATGTCCCCGTTTCTAGCTGCAGGGCTGCCAACTCTCAACACACTGACTCTAAGATTCATGTAATTAACACTTGTCACATGTTGCACGCCAGGTGTCCATTTTCTCACAGAGAGAAAAACAAATTTCTAACTAATAATTAGGCCAAACTGCACGTGCCTATAAATGTTTAGAAACAGTAGGGACTGATTACCACTCTCACTTTGTGGTGTTTTATCCAACAAGTTGTTAATCATGCATTTTGTTAGATATCCATCCAGTCAGTCCTCACAATCAGCAGCTACCAGTAGTTTCTCCATACAGAGCGTTTGTTTTTATCTCTTTGCCTCCACAAGTCAATGGTTAGTTGCTTCTCTGTGTGCACATGAGGACACTGCGGGTTTGTGAACCCAGCAGTCTGGCCAGATCTTAGTCTGGTGCGCCCTGCCAAACAGGTGCCATCACACTTTCGGTAGTTTGCACTTGTGGCGCTGGTAAACCTGGGCTGCACTTGGGCATGAAAGAACATCCCTGAGGGAGTTAAAAGCAGAGCGAGAACTTTTTAAGTGATTGACAATTTTCAGTGGAGCTGTGTGAAAAGTTTTTAATGTGTCAGTCACCAACACACTGGTTGATATGTGGAAGAAAGTGTGTAAACTAAATAATCAAAATGACACGTTTGATGTATGTTTAATGTTTAATTTGCCCAGCTGGCATTAATACCTTAACCACTGTTTGAAAAAGCATGTTGTAAAATGAAGCTATTGTTAGTGTCAAAACACTTAACTTAGCTGACTGAAGGATGTTTTCAAGTTTTCGTACTTTTAAGTGAACTCATGGTGATTGATCAGCATCATTTAGGCTATGATTTCTGGAGACTGGCGAGTATGCTGACTGATTATTGTCATTGCACAATACAGGATTGCATAATGAAATGTGGTTGTAGCCTCCTCCACACTCCACACAGAAGAAGTATAAAAAGATGATCAGGATATGTAAATTAGAATACAATATAAACAATAAAACAGGCAATAAAATAGAACAAAAGCACTGTCGCCTCACAGCAAGAGGGTTCCTGGTTCAATCCCGGGTGTGGGAGTCCTTCTGTGCGGAGTTTGCATGTTCTCCCCGTGTCAGTGTGGGGTTTTCTCCGGGTACTCTGGCTTCTATCCGTAGGTGTGAATGTGAGTGTGAATGGTTGTCTGTCTCTATGTGTCAGCCCTGTGATAGTCTGGTGACCTGTCCTGGGTGTATGCCGCCTCTCGCCCAATGTAAGCTGGGATAGGCTCCAGCCCCCCTGCGACCCTCAAGAGGATAAGGGGTTAGAAAATGGATAGATGGATGGATGGATAGTTGTAACGTATGGAGAACAAAACCCCATGTTAACGCCCACACACCCTGAGATTCTAAAATCATTAGACATTTAAAAAATTGGCAAAACGATTTTCATGCCAACCAAAATTTAACGTCTTACTGACATCCATTGCCAGCTGGGAACTCCCCTAGCAGCTGCACAAGTAGAGCCCTGGGGTTCAAGTGCTCCTGGTTGGGAATCACTGACCTAAACTGCATGTCTTTGGAGGGTGGGGGGAATCTGTAGCAACCCATGCAGGAGAACATGCAAACTCTGCACAGGAGGGCCCCAGCCAGACGGTGCCTTCAAACAGTGCGCACACTCAGCCACTCTGCTGCTCCTTATTGGTCAACATTATTAATTTTAATGTGAAAATATGAAAGATATGTGAGTAAAGGTGCATGCAAATTATTCTTTGGGTCTTCTGATCAGACTACACAAATTACAGATACCACAAGCCCCCCTCTAAACCTCTCTCTGTCCCTCCCATCTTGCAGGGATCAGGAACAGGTTCCTCTCTGTCTGGTGGGGCTGGCTCATCAGGATCCAGACCGACACGGCAGCGCATCACACGCGTCAATCTCAGGGACCTGCTCTTCTGTTTGGAGAACGAGAGATCTACCAGTCACTCCCATTTCCTCTACAAGGGCTTTCTCAAATAGGCTTGATGTCAGAGAGGAGAGGAGGGAAACGTATGTGGAGAGACCAACGGCTCCCACCGCACGGAGAGCATAAGAGACTCTCATAAATGAAGAGGAGGAGCGCAGCGACTTGGCACATTTCAAGGCTTTTCAGATATACCTGATAAGCTGAGTACAGTAGTAGCCATATTGGATGGCCTCTCTACCTCTCTCCTCAAATAATGCCTATTTTGTTTCATAGCAGTCATGGACTAATGCGACTATCTACCCTGTACAACTTTTCAAGAAAGTGCAAAAACTGATTACATGTGTTCTGAGGAAAGGTTTATGTTTGAACTAATGACTTATTGTACAATTATGCACTGTCACACAGTACAGTTTATTTTCATATTATTTGTATATGCATTAGGCATTAAAGCAATGGAAATCAGCGCATTTGATTTAATAGACCACCAACTAATTTTATTGAAGAATTTTATTTTTGATTTAACTGAATTAGTTTGAACTCCAAACTGTGTAACCTACTGAGTTGCCTTCCTAACTATGAATAAGCCATATAGCCATCCCGAAGCAATTAACCCTGCTGTAACTCATGAAGCAGTAGTTCGCTCTGTATCTGTCATCTCCATTACTTGATTCTTTTTTTTTTCTGCATATTTATTTACTAAACGCAAGCTTAAATTAATGTTTAGTTATTTATTTAATTTCATGTGACACCTCAGTGGTTTCATGTAGCTTAAATTCAAAACAACAAGCATTTACCTGCATAGGATATGTTTAAAATCAGTTTTGGGTGTGTAGATTTCAGTGTGTGAAGAGAGGTTTCTTTTGTTGTTGTTGTTGTTTTTTAATCTTTTAAATTGTTCTTTTAAAATTAGTTTGACATTTGTTGATTTCTAAAACTTAAATAGGCTTCCGAAGGCTTTTAACCCGTATTGCTATACCAAACATACATCTACCTGAAAGTGATTTCTATTTTTGTAGCTGCCCACCAACACGCATTTTTACTCTTTCAATAGCGACTGACAGTGTCCTCCGACTTAAGAAAGTGGAGTTTCTTCCTGTATATTTGTAAATGTTACACCTAAAGTTTTACACATGGTTTTGTATAGAATTGAGAATTTACCCATACAGCATAAAGAAAAACACATTTTCTCTATTAAAAAAAAGTTTGAATAAATAATGATTTTACAGTAACTGCTTTGGTTTAGTATTGTCTTGGTGTTATATTGCATCGCACTAGAGGGCAGCATTGCATTATGATTACATCTGGCTGAGTGCTGCATGCGGAACTGAGGATATTGGGGCTTTGTACATGAATGAGTTGAATGCCTTTAATTCCTTCTTACTCTACCTGTTCACAGATAATTCCACTTAATCCTCTAACATCTGTAAAGCCACATGTAGTACACACTGTGTGTCCCCTGGGTATCTACTGAGCACAACTCCCATGAGCAGAACACACAGCTCTCAGCCTAGAATAAAATCACACACACACAGTCTGCTACCAGTATGTGCTGCTCTTTGTTGGGCTGTCTTGTTTGAGTCCGTCTCCATTATCAGCCCAACACACGGGTGCATTGGCAACAGCTGCAACATCAGCTGCGAACATTCACCACAACCATGGGCTGGAAATAATTAGGCCATTCTGCCACTGGGACAGTTGCCTGATGGTACAATGATTGGGAGCAGCTTTCGTATCTGCGTTGACCAAAGAGGAACAATAAGTGTATATTTGGAACCATCAGTGGTGATGAGCTACAATTTCATTTTCCATAATGAAAGTACATCTGGGAGCCACTAGGTGGCAATTTCACCACATTACAGGATTCATCTGCAGCTAACATGAACTGAAACAGCAGGTTCTTCTAAAACCTTGTTACATTTGGTCGAGTTCAGTGTTCACATGTTCATGTTTCGCTCTGCTGGACACGCTTAACACAGACTCCTAGTCCAACCTATCCGGCACTACCATTTAGCAAAACAGTTGGAGTAAAAGAGAGAGGGAAACAGTCTGGATTGTCAATAATATCACAGCATTATGCTGCTGTGAGAAGAGCTCGATAAAAGCCAGGCCTTCAGTCGTGGTGCTGGTGACTCAGGTAAGGCCTCGCCCCTTGTGCCTCGGCCCAATCCAATATTTTTCCTAGTAATCCTCCTTCCACTCCTCAACACTACTGCTCTTTCAGAGTTAAGTCCACATAAGCTCCCACTTGAGTGCCAGAGGCAGAGCAACAACAGGGATGGTGCGGTTGCCTAGCGACGTCTCAGTCACTGCACCTGAGGGTCTTGGGCAAACACCCTGAGCCTGCCAGAGGGAAGAGAAGAGAAGAGAAGTAACATCACTGCTTTCTTCCATGACATTTATTAAAGGGGACTGTTATTAATTTGTAACATTTGTTGTTGTCATTTTTGCTGTCACCCTGGGGTGACATTATATAATAAACCATACTCAAAGCAAGTTTATTTGTGTGTGTGTGCAGACACGCACATGCCATGACTGTTTGTCTATACATTGCTACGGGTAATTTTGTCTGATTCTGAGATGGGATTTGACTGCTCTGACGGCGCTTCTCAGCAGGGTGTTTCTCTCGTACTTTTATGATAAAATTCGTTGCTTGTTTACGCTCACAGAGGGGCTCAGTTTTAATGATGGTTGGAGGCCGATGAAACCTCCCCCAGCCCACATTACTCACACGAATCAGATGGATATGGAAATCTTTATTGAGGTGAAACCCCTATAGCAAGATGAATAAGAAGGTTGTGATACTTTTTCCATTGACATTACTTTGCAAACCAATGAATTCAAAACTCCATCCGTAATCCCACAGTATTCACGCTGAGAGACAAATGCAATACTAAAAGTCAGTTAATTAATTTTATCCTTTTCAACGCCTCCTTGCATATTGTTGATTAAGCTTTGAGCTTATGAATAAAACTCTCTCCAAGGAGGAACATGAGAATGTGATTTGGATGAACTGATGTGGCAAACTGTGTGATCCAGTCGCCGCTCTTTATCATCCATTAAGGTGCACAAATCCACCAGCCTATAACCACTTTTATCCCGAACTGAAAGAGAATTATTTTCAGCCTTTCCAAAATAACCAGACCCTGAAATATTACATGCAAGAACAGTTCACTGGTTTACACCTCATCGCAAGTCCGTTTGCTGTGCGTCCCTGCCCTTGTTCCACCCAGGTAAATGCTGACTTTAGGACTCTTTTGTTATGGGGTCGACCGGGGCAGTCTGCTTTGGCCTGGAGATACTATAATAAGGCCAGTGTTTATGACTGCTCCTGAAATGGGTTTGTAAGCGCGGCTGAACCTGTGAGCTATTGACGCGGGGGTTAATAGCCTGTTGGCCTCTTTAATGGAGCTGAATCAGGTCAAGCAGCAGGCGTCGTCAGCCCACAGGAGAGGAACATCTCCATTTACAAAGTCACCTCCTATATGAGGTGGGACGGGACTCAAAATATGTTGAGCAGACACACCTGTGGTTCAGACAGAGAAATGTGTGACATGAACTGAGACACAAACTTTAACACACAGGAACAAACAAGCTAAGGTGTCAGACTTGACAGGACAGGCTGATGTAAAAGTCAGGCTTTTGCATTTTAACCCATTGATCTCACTGAGTTGATCTTGCTTTCATCATCAAACCTCTTCATCAACTTACTTTACTGAGTGTCAAGTATTAGTCTACTATTTTCACCATGTTAGTTTTGCGTGTTAGCATGCTAACATTTGCCAAGGGAGGCTCATGGAAATATTGGTTTTGCAGATATTTGGTAAACTTAAGTATTGAACAACATGGTTATGCCATCAAAGTGATTAATTAATATAGTTAGTTAATATATTTCTCAGGTAAGTGAAAACTATGACCTGCTGGTGCCCTCAGAGGAAAAGTCAGGGGATCATCTTTTGCCAAAAACACACAAAGCAGCGGTGAAGCGCAGCTGCCATGCCCTGTGGCTGCCATTCAAGCTCAATGAGCTATGGCTGTTTGATTCTGCAGCACAGTGAGGCCAAACTGAAAGCTGAAGATAGTTAAAGATAGTTTAACTTTTGTCGGCAAATTGCGTCCAGAGAATACCAGCAGCCAGTCCTGGGACTCCTGTGACACGTTGACTTATGTTACAAAAAATGTCTTCCTGCTTGAAACCCACAACACGCCTCCAGACCACAACAAAAAAATGTAACTATTGCTGTGAGCTGCGGCTTGGTGTGTCTTTGTTGTTAAGATTCATCCTCTGGGCACCATGAAAATCTGTACCAAACTTCATAAGAATATAGTTGCTAAGACATGACAGTAAAAAATAGTGTCAATCTCAAGGTGCAGGAGAAAAACGGGTATGCATGTACCTTTCTAAAATTCCATGGCAATCAATTTAACAGTTTTTGAGATGTTCCAGCCTGGACCAAAGCAGTGGACCGACAACATTGGCATCCATGGAGCCACCCTGATAGCATGGCTAAAAATGGTCAAACTCAGCCATATGATAAACCATGTTAAATAAAATGTCTACAGATTTTGATCCAGGAAAACAAAACAAAACAAAACAAAATGAAAAGCAATATACATGACCATTAGACATGACATTCACCTTCTCCTGATGCCCTTTGTAAGATTCAGAAAGGCAAAAAATATTACGTACAAAATGTGTTATGTGTTGAGTGGTAAATCCCCATGAAACATTACGACAATAATGGTCTTAAGATGGAGAAAGGAGTTTACATACATAAGAAACACATAAGAACAGAGTCAACACGCTGCATCTAGCCAGCTCACACTGGCATCATTTCTCCCCATCATGTTATTGTAATATCATCATTACATTTACAAGATAAATTCTGTGTGGTGGTCAATTATTTATTTATACTAATGAGTGTGCTGTACATCCATTATTCATGGTAAGCTTTGCTCTGTCGTCCTGGAGTGATGCTGACAGAGCGAAATGGAGGGGCAGATGGGAATGGAAGCTTGATTGTACCCCAAAGGACACCAGAGACTGACTTGGCTGTGAAGGAATCATCTCCACCACCATTTAGACATGTAGCCAGTGTCCCGGGGAAGGCACTTAACCTGTGGCTAAGGTGAAGAATTACATCCAGTTGATTAGAGCAGCCGCTCTGCTCGAGGACGCAGCTTGAATTTCCAGCTGCACTCTAGCATGTAATCACACAGAGAAGTCTGTCTCTGAAGAGCTGCTCAGCATCAGCGGCAGCACCACAGGTTTCATGTACTTGTGCTGAGGATGTCAACAAATAACACAAGAGCAACCCCACGATGCATCACTCATGGTAATTATAGGATAGATGTTTCCGAATATGACAAGAATGTTTGGGCAGTTGTGTGAATATTCACTGTGCTAGTGTCAAAACTCATAATTAGAGGGTGTAGTTGTCGAAATATCCTCACTTTGAGTCTCTGGTGTGTGTCAGGCTTCAAAAATACTGGATCCTACAATCCCCATCATGCAACTCAATAGTGTCTTTCATTAGACACCTCCCCTCCCCCAGCTTCACACCTCAAGTTGTAACACAGGCTTTCTGTTAAATATTTAATGTCTCAAGCCCGAGCTGGGATAACTTTGGAAGTTCTCTCCACAGAAGGGAGCCACAGAAGTCATTAACCAACTGTTTCCACGGGCTGAGTAGGACTACTTGTGACAAGTAAACTGAACTTCATGAGCAAAATAGTTGGAGTGCCCCCTGAAGAATTTTACTGAAGAACAAGTAGGGAAGTATTAGCAGCAAAATGTACTTAAGATTCACAAGTAAAAGCCCTCATACATCCTTTGACAGTCATATAAATTACTGATACATTAGCTTGTAAGTGGCTCAGTTATTTGCTCAGTGAAGTCAATCAGTCCTCCTATGCTGCAATATTACAGCCTGACCACATTTTACTGAGTGGCAGCAACTGTATGATAATTTGTTTGAATAAAGTTTATTGAGAGCACAATATACAAGACTCACATTGTTTGAACTTGCATACTAATATAGGCCATATAAAGTCTGACATAAACCTGAGCATGTAGTGTGTTCAAACTGCATGGTATGTGGATTTTTTGGGTGCGAGAAATGTTTGGATATAGATACTAGATTAGCAAGGATATTTTGAATATGAGACATAAGCTTATTGGACATACTGAACTGCCCCAAAATTCATTGCAGCTGTTCAGGCTGTGAAGCAG